TTCCTTCCTTCCTTCCTTCCTTCCTTCCTTCCTTCCTTCCTTCCTTCCTTCCTTCCTTCCTTCCTTCCTTCCTTCCTTCCTTCCTGTTTTTTTCCCTCACAAATCCCCAGCATGCTCAAACATGACTCTAAATAATCAAATCAGTTTGCATGATGTTCACTGTAATGCACTGGTGAGACAAGATAAATGACGAGTCCTGACCTGGCCATTTCCCACCCAGTCTTACAACTATCATGAACTGCTGCAGAGGCACCTTGTCACCTAGCAAGTTTGCTAAACCTTGTTCAAATGAGGTTATTTTTCTTCAATACAGAGCAACATCTTCTACCCCTGCATCATCATGTGAGAATAAACTCTCACAAGAGTTGCATTTTTGGGACCCATGATGATATTTAAGCTGCAATGATGAAGAGGATTAGGAAAGACAATGTGCTAAAGAGTGAGCAAAGAGAATAAAGTTCTGCTGGACAGAAATAACATTTGGGCAAAAGGTAGAAATTCAACAGCTAAGATCAGCTCTTGCTACCTGTCCTGCTTCCTTCTATTTTGTTATCTTTTTTCCCCTTATTTATTTATTTATTTATATATTTATTGAGTGAAACTCTGCCTTCTGGATCATTTCTTCGGGGGTGACATGGGACTGACCATACATTGAAAGATGTGACTATCTTAGATTTAACTCATGTGCATCAGACTCATCAGTGTTGCCACATTTAGGGACTTCTGGTGAGTTTTTTAAAACCTTGAGTTGCTGGCAGCACATGATTGTGGGAAAAGTGTTGCTTTCCTGAAAGAAAAAAAGAATATTTCTACCTTCTGTGATACTGAAGATGATTTTGGAAAGGTGATTCTGAGATTCTCTCAGAGAGAGAAAAAAAAAACACTCAGAAGTCAAATAAGAAACAAAATCTGCTCTTTGTAAATCTCCTGACCTGTAATGCAGCATGCAAGATGTTCTGTACCTAAGAAGGGTTTGACTGCCCTTTAAAATACAAAGCACACTGAGTTGAATGCAAGCACGTGTTGCATTGGTGAAGAAAAAGGTTCTCTCTCCACCTTTCAAAATGCTCCAGTTTCTCAGCCATTCTCCTTTTGGTAACTTCTTCCTTTAGATTGTTAACCTATTTTGCAGTGACTTTCTCACTTTTTCAAAGGCTGCTTTAGTCACTGCCCCATCTGAGAATAAAAATAGTTCTGTTAGGCCAACCATCTGACGGCTTAACTAGATTAAAAAAGAGCATCTTGTTTGATATCTGTCCAGTGGATTTACRCCTTTCTCCTGAGCACCAGGGCTGCTATATGTCAGCCTGCCTTTTGACTCGTGCAGGCGTCTGCCAATACATGTGCCTGCCATCCTTGATGAAGTCCGGAGTTTGTGGCACCTGGAAGTTTGTCATACTAAGTCAGAACAAGATTTCTCCTGCTGCTTTTACTTTTGTACAYCCTATAAAAGGATAATGAAGAAAAAAAGTAGACATGAATAAACAGTTCTTACAGGCAGCAATTTGTTTCTGGTTTAGTTTCCATAGCTTGGCAATGCTAGATATGATTATGAAGGTTGTAGATTTAATCTTCTTTGCCCAGGACTCTGTGGAAATATCTTATCACCCTGCAGTTCTTACTTTGGGCTTTAGGGAGGATGATCAACTCGCAGGCAGTTTCAGCAGTCCGAACAGGCCAGCTAGTGGCTGAAGGATAAGGATGGTGAATTGGATTGTTGCTATTTCTCAGCAATTCCAGCCTTGATTTCATTTCTGCTCTATGCTCTTGCATGTTGTCATTTTCCTCTAGGTCAGTATAATATATTTTTCTCCAAGATCTACACAAGTTTAGASCACTCAGTATCATCTCATACAGATTCTTCTGCCTATCTCCTCAATCCATTAGCTTCTCAGGATTCTTACTATTCCCTTTTCCAGCATGTACTCCAGCACCTTCTCCTCTACAGATGCAATTCCAGCTTATCAAACACCTAGTTTGCATGTTGCTTTCATGGTTTGGTTGCTACATCTGTCTGCTTCTGCCTACATCTTAGTAGAAAATATCTTCCCCATTGGTTTTTATCTTTAAGCAGCTCTGCCTTTTACTCCTGAGGCAGTAGGCATCCTCCTAGCAAGGAGGGACTGCTGTGAGCAGAGTAATGCCAAAGATAAATGGGCTCAGCTTGTATGATCAGAAACTAGAKCTATTTTCAGATCAGAAAGCTGAAGTGAGAGAGTGCTCAATAGACAGTGAGAGTTGAACTTTTGGGGCCATGTTTGCAGCTATTTTCAGCTCGTGTGTCCTTGAAATCAGTGGATCTCAGCTGGTTTCCATCATCTGAGCCCCTGACTGTGAGTCTGCTAGGTCTAAACAGTCTCATTTAAAATGTAAGGAAGCTAAAGTGGCCACAAACTGACCTGGAACAAGCTGGACTGAGAGGAACTTAATGAAAGGATGGGGAGAGAGCCTGGAAACSCAACTTGCATGGGTGGAGTATGTATGTTTAGCATAGACCCCAAACTCRTGTGTAGACACCTAATGCTCATTCATATTTCAGCTGCCTACTGGCACTCACTGCCTTAGGAAGTATCTGCACTATCCTAATCATCAAAGAAGGAAGAGAGRTGCTTTTGAAGGCCTCCAGAAAGGAGTCAGGTAGCCCTTTCCTAGGGATCAGCTCACAGGGGGACAGCACTTTCTTTGGAGGTTTGCAAGAACATCTACTTCATTGGCTGTCTACACGCTGGAAGGCTGATGTTATTAAGTATCTAAAATTACATTTGTGATAGCTTCCTGAATGAGGAAGACTGAATCGTAAGGCCTGTTTGCCAGGAGAGCCGGAAGGAGCTGTTGTTTGGAGCTCAAACAGCTCCAATAGGCCCAAATCTCAAAGAGACAGCAGGAACTCTTCTTCCTTCTCCACTTCTGCTGCCTCCACCACTTGCAGAGGTGGCCTCATTGCTTTCCTCCTTGAAGCATGTCCTGATACATTTACCCTTTTCTTCCTTTCAGCTCTGCTCCTTGCTCTTCACCCCGTCATCTCAAGAGCTGAGGGGAGGGGAAAAAAACAAAATCCAAGGGCAGGATTTTTTAAAGTCRGAGAGATGTTGTTGTCTAATTTGGTGTCTGTTTGTACAGTTAAGGGTTGGCTTTAGGGGATTGTGGAAAACACACATTTCAGCCAGCCAATTCTGTAGTTTTCTGTCTCTCTTATTTATAGGCACTAGTTGGGACACRGTTACTCTGTTGTTGCTTTAAGGCTCAGTGATGACTTTTCAAGCTGTGGTCCCTGCAGAAAGGCTCCTACATAGCCCTGTCAAGGAGATCATGCCTCTGAGCCACCCTCTGTATAAGGCAAATGGCATCAGCTCCATCCATCAGGGCAAATCAGGCTGGTGGCTGCCACTTGAGATTGACTGGCCAGACTGTGCATAATTTTTTTTTCTTTAGACATTTTCTGTAATATTTTATGACATAYTTCCAAAAAGTAGGCTTTTGAGAGGTTCCCTGAATACCATTTTCACACAGTTTCAATACACAGAAACAGAGATTGGAAATGCACACAGTATGCTTATGCACTCCTTTTGTGTATTTTAAAAAAGGTATAACCTTTATAGGGTTATGTTGTGTTTTATTTCAACTAAAATGATTCTCCCTGACCAAAGGGTTAAAGATGATTATATTTGTTTTCTACTTCTGTTTTACAGTTCCTGTGACAGCGCTAACTTTCACTTCTGCAATGAATCAAAATATATCCAAGATTACATGTGTGTTTATCAGCCAGAAGAATGAAGGTTCAAGAACACCAAAGACATCAGTATCTCCRAAGGTGAAATAATAGAGAATGAGTTACTTATCAAATAGTGCTGACCATTCCAGAAATACCTTCCCAGAAGGTTACAACATCCTGAGCCTTTAGGCTACGAGGATGTCATAATCAAAATAAAAAGAGTTGGATCAAATATATCTGCAAAGTTAGAAGGAAATGCGTGCCTTTTGGATTAGATCTACGTATCAAGTTTTCTCTAAAACTGAACTTCCAATTGCTTCCCTGTGTCACMTCAAGCCTTATATCAAGCCTTCAAAATACTTGAAATGTAACAATTAAAAAAAAACTATATTCATTTAAAAGAGAAATGATCTGTGGGGATTAAGAAGGCTATGATGTGAAGTGGTGACCACACACAGCCCAGCCAAACTGCTGACACAAGAGTGGGTTTGCAACAGCTGTTGGGAATGACTGGGAAGCTGAAATTCCCTCTCTTCTCCACACACTCAGAAATCCCTGCATGGGCTAAATCCAGGCTTAGACACGAAAGCTACCTCAGTAATCCATTAAGAAATGTCATTCTTCTCTTCTGACTACATATTTCTAACTGGCAGAAGATCAGTAAGAGACAGTGTACAACTGAATTATCAAGAAACTGAGACTCACGATTAAAATATCTCCTGAGGGCTGATGTTCTGAGACAGTCTTAGGAGATATTCCTCAGTGCTGGGCAAATAATAAATAATTCTGATATGTAAGAACCAGAGTGAAAACAATGGATGGTGTCATAGATAGGTTCCCTCCATCAGGCTGTGTCAATTRTCTTTTAAGTTTAAGAAAATAGTATGCTCGCTCCCATCATATGTGTGAACATCTCTTGGTTTTCTCTGGACTGACAGTTCTAGTTCTGACTTTTTACATACTCCTTCCACCAGAGGTACGATGCTTTTTGCTGTTTTTCACCAACATTCATAATGTGGTCTGTATAAAATACATTTCCACTTTGCAAGTAAAGGACAGAAAACAAAAAAAAAAAAAAAAAAAAAAATCAAAGGAGAAGTGATCATATGATGGAGACATTATATTAGTNTCTGTATAAAATACATTTCCACTTTGCAAGTAAAAACAAAAAAAAAACAAAAAAAAAAAATCAAAACAGATAAGGAGAAGTGATCATATGATGGAGACATTATATTAGTGTAATTTCTATTTAGAGTAGAAACTACATCCTAAAGTGATATATCCTGATATGATTTGGACATTAGTGGGAATTATTAAACTATGAAGGCTTTTTCCAGAAAAAATCCAGAAAACATTTAGATATGAAAATATATCTATTTACATCTAAGTAATACATAGCAATGTATTTTCTTGCCTTGCAGATTTCTAATACTTTGGAAGATCTTGGTTGTTATTTGAGTTCTCAAGGAACAGAGAACATCTATGAACCAATTAAAAATGTGGAAATCAATGTGTTTGAATATATTGAATTGAGAGTGATATTGAAAATTTCAAGGATTATTTCATGCTTTTGGTTGTTCAAAGAGAAACAAACTTGTAAACCCTCACTGGACTCAGAGAACGGGTAAGTCAAAGGATGTACTGAATAAAAAAGCATTAAAGAGATCATTTCTTTAAGGATGCAAGTGAGATGTTTTCTGTGGGACTCTGTGGGGGATTTATTTTGCAACATGGATATCTGCAGGGACTTTACTCACATTGATCAGTCTGAACTTTGCAGGATGCATGGGAGGCAAGGMACTTGGTTTTGTAGTCAAAGAAAGAGAAGCATGGAGAGTTATTTGACTTGGCAAAGTCACACTGCAAACTGGTAATGGTGCCAGCAGCACCAACCCAGTTCTCACAACAAAACAACTGAAGTGAAACCCAAGGCTGGGTCATTCCCTCCCTCAACAGGACACAGAAGGTAGGGTTGTAGGTAAAGCATTTCCCTCAGCTGTCCTAAGTTCAGGAAATCCAYCCACCTTAGGACTACCCAGCATGTGCTTGGGTACCAGTGATGCAATTTCTTAAGTGTCATTTGTACTATAGGGTAATTCATGAAAACACTTCTAGTTGAAGGGCACTATGTAAATAGTGAATACCGGTATCTCTGATTAACAGTTTCATGCTGCCAAGCATGATGCTAACTGTTTGATTGTATCTGCCTTCTAGATAACAAAACCAACTTTATTTTCTGTCTTCTAGGTATGTTACATCTTTGGATTTTTCCCAAAAACAGAGAAACATGGGCTGGAAACCACACTCTCTGAGTCATAGGCGAAAACATTAATTACACAATAATATTTACTGTTCTTGCCCGAAGTAAGTATATTTCAGAAGAATGGAGTCAATCCACTAGGAAGTTCAAGGGGAGAGGCTCAGGCTCACTAAAGCTCGCTCTTTTCTTAATAAGTCTTCTGTCTTCCCCAAGCCTTCTTGCCCATGTCTCTCACCTCCTGCATCACATGGCACCTCTCTCACATGCTGTGTTTCAAGTGCGAGCACCTCCTTGGCCTAGATTTGCACAGGAAATTGCGTAGGAGCTTTGCATAGACTTGGATTTGTCTTAAATGACTGAAGTCAAAACTGCAGATTGAGTTGAGTTGCCACATGAAAAACAACTTCCACTCATCAATAAAACATGCAGATGAGTATATAAAGATTTGAATGTGCATCAGCTCCCTTCTCTCCTATGAGAGATCTCATTCTGTGCCAAAAAGGACAGATCAAGGGTGACTTTTTTATGCTTTTAAATATTGCAAGTTGGATTTGTTTGCTTGCATCTTACCCTATTTTTTTTTCACCGTTTTGGCTGCTGATCTCTTCTCTATATCAGGTTAAACCAAAATAATCAGATTAAGTTTATTCCCTGGCCTCCAGMACTCTGGGTCTCGCTTTGCCCACTGTAACACTTCTCCTCTCTGCATTTCTGGCGCAGTCTTTCCTAGTCGCACTCTTTTGGGATGGTGAGAGGTGACCCTGGGGCAATGTGAGAGACATGGTCCCTCTGCTCAGCTCAAGGGTTTACTCATGGTTCAGGACAGTCAGTAGTTTTGGGTTGTTTTGGTCTGGTTTTGGTCTGTTGGGYTGGTTTTGGTCTGTTTTTCTCCTGCAGCCTGGGCTGGGATGTGCTCTTTGGTTTTCATGTTAAAGAGCATTTGCATGGCAGCTACTCAGCACGAAGGTCCACAAGAAGTTCATATTTTAACTGCTGACCTCAGGAAGCCACAGCAGAGCATGTGTTAGTTGTCACTTTTTGAAAGACTCACAGCATGGGCCAGTTTAGTTGAACCGTTTAAGGACCACCCAAGAGACATCTCTGACACAAAGACAACAACAAAGATGAGTCTTCTCCTTTTAAGCAGAGGTGTGCAAGAACTTAAAACTAAAAAGACACATGTTGACATACTGTGAAGAGGAGAAATACCATATTATTTCCTGATAAATAGCTGAATTAAAACAAACAAACAAACAAACAAAAAAACATTCAAACAGGTAACAAGCCTGGCAAAGTAATTAGGACCAAACCTTTCAAGAGAGACAGGTTTAATAAGCAGCGTAACTTGCCTTGTTTTTAATAAAATGTCAGTAATCCAAATTTTTCATTCCTTTTTACTTGTTTCTAAGACATTTATGCTTGATTTTTTCTTTCTCACTCAAATGTTAGAAGTGTCACTTACTTTATTTGAAGGCCTATTTTGAGCCCTGTTTTTAATTTTAACATCTTTTTGACTATGTTAAATGTTTATCAAAAAATACACCTACTCTACCATATCAGTGAGACTTCAAAAGTAAGAAGTGTGACCACATGTGCCAATAAGATAGTTCAAAACAGTCTCGGTTAAAATCTTTTTATATCAATTGCTTGGATCTCATTCTCGTTGCTTCTGCAAATCTAATATCCCAGTTCCATCTCTCATCAAACCCTTCAGGTTAGATGAGATGTGAATCTCTACAGCTGGAAAAAAATAATAAAACACCAATAACAAAAAAAATTGTAGGCCCAGTTTATAAGAAATAAGCAAACAAATACATTCAAAAGCTGGAAGTATCATTGTGCCTTTGCATTCACCTTTTAGGCAACAAAACTAAGAAAAAAAATATTGGCCCTCTTGGTGGAAATCGTCATTTCACTGTATGCTGACTTTAAAATAAACTCTATAGTTTTCATTTTAGATCAGATCTTTAGCAGTTTTAATGCACTATGTTTTTTGTATACATTTACTTAAAGTATGAGTCTGTCAGAGTCAGAGGACTGGGAGTGACCTAAGAAACTTTCTGTCAGAGTCAGAGGACTGGGAGTGACCTAAGAAACTTTTCACCTCTAGGTAGCAGAGGCCTGATAGAGAATCTGATCATTACCAGAAGTTAAGCTGGAACTTGAGCAGCAGCCTCCAGATTCCCCCCTYTTGTACAGAGGCAGGCCTTTGATATCAAGGAAGATGAATATTTAACAATCCATCCAAGATGCTTTTCGGACCAACCCACAATATCCCTAGGGCAGAATGATTTTATTTTCCATGAGCATTGAAATCACATGAAATAAATTACAGCCATGTAGACGAATGTACTATTTACTGAGTAAAACATTCTGCTTTGAAATTATTTCAAGAAATCTTAGTCATTTGCATGACTTTTGACAGAGAAACCAGGGAAACCCTATTTCAGGAAAAGTGAAAATCGAGATATTATACAGTATGAGCTACCCCCAACCATCTTTGGAGTAGATATTTTGCAAAACACCTGAAGCGAGGTAAGATGTCTATTTATTTCCTTATTGAGGCTTTTTGAAAACTTACCATATTCTGAAGAAGGGGAAGCTTTCAACAAACTAGAGGGTCTTGTGAACTGAAGAGCCATGGGTCAGATTTTGGAGGAGAGCAGTGAGCTCTGCTCTGTTGCACAACAGCTGTTTGAAAAACTGTGCCTGCGTGACTCCAGTTTTTAGTGCTGCAGCATAATTTTTTAGAAAGTTTGTCTCTTGTGCTCTTTTTGAGACATTCCGCTCTTCATTTAGAAAAAGTTGTTCCAGATTCCAACATTTTGATATGACTAAAATAAATCAAATATGTCTCATTCGTGTGCACTTTTTCACACTTTAGAAAAGAGGAGTGTCTTACACTTATGTAKATGTTACAAGAAAGCATATAATTCCTAGCTAAATTATTTTTTCACTATGTTTTCACTTAAAAACAGAGTATGTGTGAACATATACAACCAGAGTATGTATTRAGAGGGGGAATGTGCTCAAACAAGCAGTAAATAAGCTTGAATAAATTCAGATAAGACAACCTTGAAGGTGTTCAGTGAGCATAGATGGTACTTTTCTCTGCATTGTAACAGTTGAAGGATCTGGATCATGTAAGTCCATTACATTTGCAATAACCCCCACCATCARTAATCCTGAGGTATACTGTGAAAACCCAATGTATGATTTCACTATTTTCCAGATTTAAGCCATAGAATTACCATTTATGACCCAGTCTGACCATAYACATGTCACTTCAACTCATTCTGCTATTTAAATTATCATCTTTCATTCAACAGCTGTGACGTTATTATTTTCTTTTCTTTGCCTTTCTTGGTTCCTTTTTATTCAGCTGTGTAAGATCCTTTTTTCCCACTATTGTTTGCATATTTTTATGACTCAGGGATTTTTCAAATTCAGTTGCTTGAGGTTAACCAAATGAGTCAATGAATAATTAGGCTTGTAATTTCAGTTGCCCTAACAAAATGAGCGGAGGAACTGGGAAAAYACATGGCATACAGGAGGTACAACATGGATTACAGGAAAATAAATTATTTCATGCATACATATGGTGTTGTGCGACTAATGAGCTGGGCAGAGAATGCACCAGCCTATTTACAATAGGTAACTTCCCTGTAAGGTTTACTTTCATATGAGGTGGATCCYACTATTGGAATTAGTWGCACTACTCATCTGAGTAAGCTCCYCAGTCTAAASTCTTCATTTGTAATCACTGGAACAAATCTATCCAGCAGTGAATATATCATTTAAATCCACCAARTTTACTRATTTCATATTTAATGAGTAATTTTCCAGAATCTAAGTTTCTTTACAATATAGTAATCGATAAAGTTGGAAGAAAAAATATTGATCAAAATAAGTACTTTTTTTTGCAAAGACARTAAAAGTGGTTTCACTGGTTGTATATTTATTTTGTAGATTTAAGTGAAAGACATGCAGCACTTTTATCTTTACTTCTTAAAGCTGGAGAACCATTGCTCATCAGATGCAGAGCAGCTTATCGTAATTATAGCTTCAGAATTAATTTTTTCTTTTGAAAACAAAGAACTACAGCAGATAAGAAGGGTTTATTTTACAATATGTAATATTGTTTACTAAAAAGTGATTAAGTACAAACCTCTGTTGAAAACTAGGATCAGTATTTTGAAGGGTTAGACTATCAAATAGATTACTCAGCCATTTGGATCCAGAATGTATTTGCTTCAGGAGCAGGAAGAAACGACAGTGAACATTACACCTGTTCTTCTACAGCACATCCAAGTCCAACTGCTCTGATTACAGTTTTAAGTAATTCCAACCCCAAGTGTTATTTTTGTCCTTTTGTTGTTTTGCTTTGTTTTCAGTATGTCAGTTCTTTGAAGCATTTGTTTATAATTATTTCTATGATAAAATCTTTTTTTCACTTGCTGGCAGTCTGGGGAAGCCAAGATATTAATCTCAGCTGAATTATTCAGCTACCTAAAGAGAATGCTTTTAGAAGGGGGCTGAAATGACACTCTCAGGAAAGCTAGTGATCCTTTCAGTGTTACTTCTGGAAATGCAGGTTGGGATATCCCTCACATTTCACAGAATCACAGAATGGCWGAGGCTGGAATGGGATCTCTAGAGATCATCTAGTCCAACCCCCTGCACAAGCAGGGACACCCAGAGCACCTTGCACTGGATCACATCCAAGCAGATATTTAATATCTCCAGAGAAGAAGACTCCACAGCCTCTCTGGGTAACTCGTTCCAGGGCTCTGTCACTCTCACAAACAAGAAGTTTTTCCTCACACTCAGATGGAATTTYCTGTGCTTCAGTTTGTGGCCRTTGTCTCTYGACCTGTTGCTGGCCACCGCTGTAAAGAGTCTGGTGCTGCTCTCTTGACGCCTTCGCTTAATATGTTCCTGCACATTAATAAGATCTCCTCTCAGCCTTCTCTTCTCCAGGCTGAACAGGTCCAGCTCTCTTAGCCTCTCTTCATAGGAGAGATGTTCCAGTCCTCTGATCATCTTCATAGCCCTACACTGGACTCCTTTCAGTAGTTCCAGGAGTTTCTGTGGGTKACTCCAGCATCCACAGGGGTGTGTGGCCCAGAGCTTCCTGGGGGTCCCTGGACACAACAAGGTCCTGTCACTTTGCCATTCTAGCTTTCTTCATGCCTTTCCTTCAGGTGAGGCCACTTGTGCCCTGCAAGTGGCCCTCCTCTCTGAAGGTATCTACGATCTCAAACCTATATGGAGGCAACTATAGCACAGATAAAAACATTTGAAGGTAAATCATTGCAGAAAACATATTTTCAGGAGCTGGGCAGTGATATAAAATGCTTGATCTGCCCTGAATTTTCATCTATGAATGCTCTTTGTATTAGTCTGTCCACAGTCTGGAACAATAAGTGACTTCTGACAACATGAGACAGGAGTCTCCTTCAATGACTCTACTAGTACAGATGAGTTTTGAAAAATTGTAGTCATGATCTCAGTTATCTCCTCACCACTTGTTCCCGCCACATTCCCCTTTATGCTCACCTACCAGAACCTCTACCCTGTGCTTTCCACCCTGTGTTACTGAGGGGCTTACTCACTCACTTTCCACCCTGTGTTACTGAGGGTGCAAGATCCTCTCTTCCTACTGGTGGCCACAGCTCAGATAAACTTACTTCTTGCATCCCTGCTAAACTAGCTTGAGTAGATATCATATTGATGGGAGATGTTTGAATCTCTGCCTCTGGAGGCTTATATTTCCCAGTGATGCCACCTGTAACTGAAGGCATTGAAAATTAAATGTACCATTTATTTTTCAGGCAGCAGTATACAATTTTGCCTTATCTTTTTTGACTAGGAAACCACGGTGATTTTCTGTACCCTCCCTGAAAATGCCTTATGCCAACAAAGTCTGTGAGTGATTATTGGTTTTGCTGATGGAAAAAAAATGCTTATTGGCTTACATGGTAGATTAAGGTAGGGGGAATATTGCCATGCCTAGTTATCAGTGGTGCTTTCCTTTCCAAGGTTAAAAGGGACCATCATATGCAACACTTTTGATGCATCACAACTTTTGGCCTAATGTACTAATCAACCCCTTGACTGGTRTCAATTTGTGCTGACACTCTGGATTCATGATCAACAGTGATAAGAGTTTCATTCACTTGTTCTTTATCATAGAGTAGCAGTCTCTGAAATGACCACTGGCTGGACAGATGGAAGTCATAGCAACTTTGCCCTAAAATTAAACTATCAGTATCCATGAGTCATCAGACCTAGTTTYGCTAGGAATGGTGAGGAAGTCACTTTATAAAGAGAAAACCTCATCTACTTGGCATACTCTGCGTTGCCTAAGGAACTTGGCCAACAACTACGCTGACTGATGGTCTTCCCATGCCTAGTAATGCCCTGCAGACAGACAGCTCTGGTTTCCTCTTTGCTACTTGGTGTTTCACCAGCTTATCTCTTTTCTTTAGCTGGTTATATTACACAGAGTGTTTGGCTCACTTGAAAGCTCAATAGAGCCAACAACTGCAGCTGCAGCTGCAGTGCCCTTCATGTCTACCCTTCCCATGTTCACTCTGCATCTGCAGGGAATAGAGGTCTCAACACTATCTCATCTTTACACAGAAATATGCCAACGTGTTCAGCTTAAAGGTAAATAAACAAACAAATGGCATGAAAGCTTTAATTCCAGTCTCAGGAATTTCAGCTCATCTCTCTATCATTACTAAATAAGCATGTTTACTATTTCAATGATAGAAAACCACTTAAACCTGCCAAAAAAGCAAGATCAGCCAAGCAATAAAATGTACTATTTTCCATTTGCTTTAGAAACTGCTTTTTTCCTTTTTTTTTTTCCTTGATCTCTTTTGGAAAGAAATATCATACCCTATTCCAGGTCTCTCTATGCACTCTGAAGAAGAAGCCCTTACACTTTGCAGGTTGTGTTTATCAGTACATCAGTCCAGATGACTTTCTGCTTGGAAAAACAAGGTCCAAAAGAGTTTTTGGAGATGAAGCTCCACATTACAAAACCATTAAGTCTTCAACAGTGAACAAGAGGAGAATAGACATGAAAGGGATTGCTTCTTGTTTTAAAATACTGAACTTTTCTTGTGGTTTCTATGGGAATTTCGGCCTAGTACTTTTCCAAACAAGTTGTTAAAGAAGAAATGTGMCAGATTATACAGAGTTACAATCAAAAGGAAATAAAATCAAAATAAAAAGCAGTCCAGCAGTGTTTCTGCTGTACAGATTTTCAGCATGAGGCTGTCTAAGGACTGGCACAGGATGCCCAGAGGCTGCGGAGTCTCMTTTCTTGGAGATACCCAAATCTCARCGGTTCCTTCCAACCTACATTATCCTGTGATTTTAACAGAGCTAATCCTAACCCCACTGAAGAAGGCCTTTAGAAAGGCCATCTTCTACTTTTGTGTGCTGATCCATCTCTTTGGGTGGGATTCATTTCACCCCATGAGTCACCTAGCCCCAGCAGTGACCTAAGCTCCTTCAACAGGTAGTGACAGACATTTCCAGAGTTTACTGCAGYACATCTTTTTTGGAGTCTATTTTAGGATTTGATAGATGTTTCATGTTTTTCCATGTTTCTGTTGTCTTCCATCAAATACTTCTAATTTAGATGGATAAATACTATGAACAGCTGTGAGATCCATCTGCAAAATCTTTGGGTAAGGTTGGCAAAATCTTCAGCTTATTTCAGGGAAGGAGAAACAGCTCCAGGAAATATCTGATTATGCTGGCGGTGCTGCATGATTTCATTCCCTCTTACAGGAAAACTTGGAGATGCAGGTGCTACCACCCAGAACACATACCTAAAGCAAAGCAATAGAACTGTTGGCTCAGTAGCTCTGAAGGGTGGGCTAGGGAGAACTGGCTGGATGGGCTCGCTCTGAGCAAATCTGCAACTCCAGCATGTTTTACATGGGCTCAGATCACTGATGTGCAGTTAAATGCAATAACATCATTTCAATCCTATTCTGAAGCATTTTCTTCTTTTTGATAATTAGGATGCCTTTTGTGATGTAATGTAGTTTTTTTTAATACAGTGGTTTTGGAGCTTGGGGTTTTTTTTTTTTTTTTTTTTTTTTGTTGCAATAACTAAAACTATGTCTTTTTTTTTCCAGAAAAGGGGTTTATAAACATAAGTGACTCTAGAGAGGAGTTTGAAATTGGTGAAGAAGAGTTTTGCTTCGAGGTTCACCCTACAGTATATCCAGCCATTAGATATATGTGGCTATTTTCCCCAAAAACCTTTCCATGTGAACAAAGTGTGCATTGACTCAAGTATTTCACAATGTGTTTCCTCTTTCTGTCTCTTTTGAATCGATTCCTGTTCATATTTCATATGTCTACTCATTTGTTTAATAAGTGCATGGACCAAGTGATATAGCAGTGTTACCAAAGGATACTCAAAGATGAACTTGGCTTTCAATAACACTTCAGAGAATCACTTTTTTTTCCCTCCATGTTACAATAAATCCCTATATAAATTATGCATCTCGCAACCCCTTTAGGCTATGTGCATTTTACCATTTGTTTTCTCCCTGACACAGTTGGCAATTACAACTCTTCTGCAGTTCGCTGCCTGAAACCCAAGTTCATTTTGTTCCCCTTTTGTCATCCTGTTCTTAACGATGTTCCCAGTATCTTTCCAATAGCTAAAATCCAGTCCCAGGCCCTGCAGTTTCCCAAGCCCTCTGTAGATCTCTGTGCCACAGAAACATATCATTCTGCTAATTACCCAGGTCATGTATTCTTCCGCTCTTGCAAAACATGTTTTCAATAAACCTGTTAGTTATCAACCTTTTCTGTTGCTTCCTACGATGGAAGTTCTGGCATGAATCCTGTTCGAGGCTAATGTTTTCTCCATTCCCTAGGCTTTCAAGTTTCTTGATAACATTATCTAATTATTTCCTTCAGAGTTTCTTTAAGAGTAGTCCCATAGCATTCAAGGTAACCAATTTTATCCACCTTGAAGAAAATAGAACCAAGATGATCTTTTAATGTTTCAGTTAAAAATTAGGCAGAGACAGGCAGTTAATGTGTCTACTCTGATTTCTTTCTTTCCATATTCTTAAATATCTCTGATCATTTGCTTAAAACTGTGTCTTGCTAACACTTTTTGTGTTTTATTTCCTTACAGTTTCAGAATACTTGATTTTATCAACTGGCTTGTCAAGTCATCCTTACAACAGACTGGCCTTTTCATCTGGATCAGGTGGAGTGTTGGGGTCAGAACTCCACATGGTCCAGAGACAACTCAGTTCAGATTAGCAAATTATCATCTCCTGGCAATGGACACAGGAACTCCGTCCTAGCTGATAAAGTGAGGGCTGTCCGCAAACTTTGATAGCGTTGATAAGTGGGTGTTGCTAATTAATCTGCAATGCCTCATGTGGGCTGGGTAGCTCTGCTTCTGTGCTCAAATCTGATTTTGGAAATGAAGAGTCAGGAGACAGCCATGAGCACTTGCTCGTCCTTGTCCAATGCATACCTCTGCCTAGCTGATAATGCCTGGTTTATTTGCTTTGCAGCTGTCTGCACTGCCTTTTCGCTGAATGAGTGGGAGAGAGTTTTGCTTGGATGATTGGCAGCTCGTGGAAATTCAATCCAGAGAAGAAGAAGGTGCTATGTAATGGGCCAACAATAACAATTTTGAGAACTCTGTAATACCTTAAGTAACCCAAATTAATCAGTAAGATGCAGTTGCAGCAGAGTCTGGAATTTATGAGTCACCTCAGACAGCTTTTTCAGCACAGAAATGACTGTTGCTTCCCTGAGTGGTGATCACCACCTGCCGGACARGGAAAAGTCCAGACGGGTCTCCCTAGCGTGGCAACTCCTGTGTTATTCCAGCCCTGTACCAGGATCCTGCTCCTTAACCACTTGAGGTTGACCTGGAGGCTACTTGAGGTTGATCTGGATGGCTGCTCAGTCATCCTTTGGACCGTGGTGTTGATTAGGCATTTGATTAGGTGTTGACTTTTAAAAATGTTATTTTAATGTTCATCTTAGTAGTTATACTTTGCATTTATTTAGCACTTTGCATTTTCAAGGAGCTAAATAATTCAATACCTGTGTAGGCGGCTAAGTAGATATCATTCTACCGATTTTATGGATAAGCACAATAGGGAAAAAAGTACGTGAAATTGGTTAGTATTTAGTCAATACATAGCTACCCTCCATAGCKATCCTGTTTTGATTAAATACTAGCATTTTACAGACTTATATTATTTGACAAAGATGAGTAAGGGTAGACATTTCATTCAGTTTGATCATATCATCAGGAGCAGCAGTTTGTTTCTCAAAACAAACACTAAAAAAAAGTCATCATGCTGTTGATATGATTCCGCCTTTATTATGATTCTAACTTCACATATTTTGGTTCTCTTCTGAGTAATCCTGTGTCCCAACACTCTACTTTCTTCCTTTCATAACCTATTTCTTTTTCTTTCTCTTTTTCAATTTCTACTATTTCTGTATCAAATTGYTCCTCTTGACTATAGATCATATTAAATGTCATTAATTAACTGTTTCCTTCTTTAGTTTTTAACTCCAAGAATTCATCTCTATTGGTGTACCTACCTGTTATCAGAGATTCCTTCAGRATTTTCTGTAGTGCTCTTTTTGTCTCAGTGTTTTAGAGTACTATTGGTTTTCACTTCCCTCAGAGCAAATTACTTTCCATACACAGAACGATCTTTTTAAAATATATGGCTTGTCATCCCATATCCCTTTATGGTTTTAATGTTTTCAAATAGGAACAATTTTCATAAAATGAATTTGTGATCATTTAATTAGGGCTTAATCCTTCAGACCAGAGACTTCTKTCTCTAACAGTCTCCATAGTCTCGTTAGGACTCTGCCTCCATCATTTTGACTGTCACAAGCCTCTTTCTACATGGTTTGGTCTTGGTATGCCACCATCCACCTGGCCAAAGGTCATAGGGGCTAATAGAAAGTTGTCCTTCTTCTTGTAGAAATATTTGACAGTGGTGATTTGTCTAAGAGGTTGAGTATCCATCAGCTCTTTCATTTCAAAGAAATTGATCTTATAAAAGACCCTGTTTCGTTGTTATTTCCTATTACTATTTATTATGTAGTCTAGAAGCTCACATCAAAATCTTTTTTGGAGCATAGCATTTGATTCCTTTGCCGCACTTAACATCTTTGCCAGGAGGTATCACAGACTTTGTCTTCCAATGGATTTGATACAAAATCAGAACCTTACATCCCAGATGAACTCCAAGAACTACAAGGCAAATTGAAGAAGGAAATTGATACTGCAGGAAAAAAAAAAAAAAAAAAAACCACATCCTTTNCCACATCCTTTCACTAAGACAGTAACATTTGGGAGTTTCTATTGCTTAATAAGAAATAATTTAGTCTGGATTCTACATTAGAAGATATTGAATTGATTCAAACGTACCTTCATTGCAGTGTTCATTGCATCTAATATCATGCTCAAGAAAATGTCCTTCCTTTTGTCCTTCCTTCTCTTTACACCACAATATTTCTTCCAAGTTCTGCAACCATCAGCATCAGCCTGGGGTATAGGTGTTTTATGCAGAAAATGATGATACAGTCATGATGAAAAAATCACTTTTTCATATGTAAGAAGTAAGTGCAAAAAAAAAAATCCTTGTAAAGTTCTGGCAAAGTCTRGGGGTGGAATTCTTGACCTGTTTGGTGTCCATCACTAGGGATTTTGCCACTGATGTAAATAGAACTAATATGTGGTTCCCACATGTATAACTTTACCTTTTGCTGTGTCATACAACAGAGGAGATGTAATTAGATATTCCTTTCTTTATCCCTTTTGGACTGAGGTGAATAAAATAGATTCCACAGTGATCTCTGATTAGATATTGAATAAGGTTGTGTTTTGTTTTTTAAAATCTTTTAAATTTTTAAAATCTAAAATTCTTAAGTATCTGAACATTCAGTTAAATATCTGTTTTCATCAACAGGAAGGAATCACAGAACCACAGAACCACAGGAGGGTTGAGGTTGAAAGGGACCTCTAGAGATCACCCAGTCCAACCCCCTGCTCCAGCAGGGACACCCAGAGCACGGGGCACAGGGTGGCAGYCAGGCGGGTTGGGAAGATCTCCAGAGAAGGAGACTCCACARCCTCCCTGGGCAGYCTGYTCCAGGGCTCTGTCACCCTCACAGSAAAGTAGTTCTTSCTCACATGGAGATGGAACTGCCTGGGTTTCAACTTACACCCATTGTCCCTTGTCCTGTAACTGGCCACCACTGAGAAGAGCTTGGCCCCTTCCTCCCTATATTCTCCCTTCAGGTACTTATACATGTTAATCAGATCCCCTCTCAGCCTTCTCTTCTCCAGAGAAARCAGRCCCAACTCACTCAATCTCTCCTCATACGAGAAATGTTCTGTTCCCTTAATCATCTTTCCTGCTCTCCGCTGGACCCTCTCGAGAAGCCTGATGTCCCTCTTATACTGGGGAACCCAGAACTGYCCCCAATACTCCAGGGGTGGCCTCACCAGAGCTGAGCAGAGGGGCAGGATCCCCTCCCTTGACCTGCTGGCAACATCCTCCTGATGCAGCCAGGATCCCATTGGCCTTCTTGGCCACGAGGGCACTGCTGCCCCATGGTTAACTTGGTGTCAACYAGGACTCCCAGGTCCCTCCCTGTGGAGGTTCCCTCTCCGTSGAGAAGGAACTTTCCTAATATATCTCATTTAAGTGCTTTGAACTGTACCTTTAATAATCAAGTCCCATATTCTCTGTGGGAAAACCTGGGATACTCTTTGCATCCTGTGCTGCGTGTCAGAATGCAGCAAGACAGCCTAGCAGAATGCATACAACTAAGTCACCTTAGATATCCATTCAATTAATATAATAAGATGTGAACTCTCAGTGASAAAGTTTGGGGCTTGGTTTTTAAAAGACAAAATAACCCTAGCCTCTCAGCAAACGTGTTAAGCCTGTCTGGTGAGTGCAGAGAGATCCCAGGTGTTGCTACAGGAGAGCAAGAGGAACAGGAACATCTCAGTCCCAGACTTGGTCTCAGACCAGATATTGCACTGGGCTAAATAGCACTGGGGATGTGGTCTCCATCACACATCCTGTTAGCCAGGAGCCCCGTGTTAAGGTCACGCAACCCCACATAGGAAGCCTGTTCTCCATCCATGACCAACCCAGAAAGTACTACTCATGAACACWTAGCACCCTTCTCCTGCACCACTGCATGGATTTCAGAAGTGCAGGGCAGACATGAAGAAAGTCACCTTTTTGTCTTGCTTTCTTCTATAATTTATATAATAAAGCTATGTAAATGAAATGGGAAATGCCAAGGAAGACTAACCTTACCAAATCTGAAGAAGTTATTTTATTTTACTTTTTACTTCTTTTAATCTGTCATCAACAATGAGGACAGAATAAGAGAAACTGGTCATACAATGAGAAAATGAACATTTCTTAAGAAAACCACTAAACCTAGGAGGCCTGAGAAATACAGCCTGCAGACCCTGTGACATAGAATACATATGTCAGGAGGATCCATATGCTCCTGAACATGACTTGCAGACATGAGCAGCTTTCTCCAGTGTTCTTGGTTATCTTAGTTTTGACCAACTGCAGCATCTTATTATTGTTCCAGGCTAAAGATCTACAACACCATGATCCCCTATGCTCATTTTGTATGAGCAAGACACACAGCACTTGGCTCCTGGCAGAGACCCAGGGCAYGGTGGCTGTTCTCAGTTGCAAAAGCAGAAGTCAGGACTTCTAATTTTGATTCAGCCACTGTTTTGCTCTGGCTGATCATAGAGAGAAGTGGTTGCTCCTGTTGGCTCAGCCACACTCGCATCCCACAGACCAAAGCTCGGGGTCTGGAGGAAGAAGAGGGGCTGAGGTCTGTGCCAGTCCTGACACTCGCATATGGATGGGTTATTTTGGAAACACAGGGAAGAACTTAGTCTTAACAGATATAACATTACCATATAAAAACAGTGAGTTTAGTCACTGAAGTGTTGATGGAAACTGTCTTTTTTTTTCATTGCAGGGAAACCTAAAGTCACCATGCAGTTAGCATACAAGCAGATCTCCTGCATTTCTGACACTTACCCTGCCCCATCCTGGATTTGGAGGAACTGTCCTGAACTTAATTMATTTAAGTAAATAACTTTCTTTCCTTTGACTTCATTGCAAAGACTGCATGTGAGCTCTCAGACTAAATGAAAACTGACCTGTAACAAATCAGAACTGGACTCCTTTCTATTTCATCTGTACAGAAAAAATCACTGAAGAGGCTCAGAACTTCTTGCCAGAGATGAGATCCTTGGGGTCATGGATTTCAAGCAGTACTTAAGATAAAAAGGAGACAGCAACAACCTTCACTGTTGAGTGCTGCGCAAACAATTCTGCTGGTTCAACCTGTGAAAAGAGTTTCATTAGCCTGTCAGGTACCATAAGCCAATGTTTTAGCATAGATTTTCTCAAGATGATTACAGATGGCAAAAGAGAAGTCAAGGTAATATATTTATGTGGCTAGCTAACTGACAGCGCAATGATCATTGCCGGTGAAATGCAAGCACTGTGCATGCAACGTGTGGAATGGTGAATGAATGATGGATACGCATCTCTTTTCTACAGTTTCAAACAAGGGCCTCACCCATTAAGCAGAAATTTCACAACAATAGGAATTGCAGGATGCAGCCATGGAAACTACTTTTTCATTTTTTTCCTTGTAATCCTCACCTGAAACCCAGAGGCATCAGCTTTTGCAAAAAGATGGAGCTGCTTCGGTACACACCTCCAGAGCAAAGTAGCTTCACACCCACATAAATTTGTTCACATAAAGAATCATATTTTCAAAACAGAAAAGAAAATGTTATTCATTATCCAAGTGTGAAGTTGTAGAAAGAAATGGAAAAAAAGACCAAATGATTGAGACGAATAGAAAGAAAATGAAAAGAGTAAGAAAAAAAGAAGAAAAAAAAAAAAGAGGGGACAGAATGTTGGAAAAGGGAGATAACTTTTCAAAAGGACCAAGCATAAAAATAAAATGAAGATAAGAAGAACTGCATGAAGAAGGACTAGGAGGGAAGTAACAGGCTATTATCATTACTTAATTGTTATTCTCATATCATTAAAGCAATGTACAAATACAGATAACTCCTGCGCTAGGAACTCCCAGTCTAGCTAGTCCAGCAGCTCACAGAACGGGAGGTCTCAGGCTTCTACCCAGGGTTGGTCCATGACATGCCAGAGAATTTCATTGAGTCAGAAAGAGCAAAGCTGTCAGTGTAATCTTGTTTCCCTGGTGTGCGTGAGTAGCAATATTGTCRTATAAAGACACACGGGGCATAAGAGAAAAGCAAACAACTAGATCGTGACTGATGTTGAAGTCACAGAGCAAGTTTCTAGACGGTGGCTGATGCTGCCTTGTGGAGCACTCTCAAGACATGACTGCCTAGGCTGGAGAGCTGCAGGAAATGTGTGCTTACTCTCATGGGATAGGACAACAATGCTTCCAGCTACGTCCAGATCCCACCTACAGAAATATTTATATCATCATATTTCATCTGAAAAAAAAAATTTTTTCTTTAGAAAGTGACCTAACCAGCATTCCACGCGGACACATCCMCTTGTAAGGTCTTTTCTCTGATAATGCTATTTTCACTGTAAAACAGTTTACAGTTATTGGTTATGTTATCAACTATATATAACACTGGTAACTCTGTCACCTTCTCCAGAAAGGGAATCCCACTAGAATATAGTGTGAATATGACTCTGTGTAGAGAGGATGACTTTGGAAACACAGAACCAAGTCAAAACATAAATGTGGCTTCTGGATCAAATGGGGTTGTGCTGTATTTGGGGGAAGGTGGGAGATGAATAGTGGTTTTATCTACTTGTTATATCCATTAGTATTGTATTTACTATAATATTGATGTAGCTTGACTAGATTCAGTGACACAGGAGGCTCCTGTATCTCTTTACTTCTGATAGAATTTTTGTTGGAGAAGGATTCAGCAACATTTAAAACCTTAGATTTATATTTCTGGTGATAATGTACAACATATTTGAGCATAAAAATGTGCTTTATTTCAGTTAGTGTCTGAGCAGAAGATTGAAAAGAAAAAGGATGCTCTTAGTCATGTTACTCTTGGTAACATCATGTAAAAACTATTTCAATGGTTAATACAAGAAAGCAGAGTATGGAGGCCCATGAAAAAATCTTTCTCCTGTTTATCTTTCATAGATGAAATTAAACACGCAGACAGACAAATGGATGACAAAGAGGATTTTAATGTGCTCACTTTTGAAGACCTTCTTTGCTCCTCATATCAAGTTGCCAAAGGAATGGTCTTTCTTGAGTCCAAATTGATATGGTTAAGGGTAGCAAGTAATTTAACAGAAAGGTGGMAGAAGCAGATCACTTTAGTGAAATATAGACTAGGGGAAAGAGCCATACACTGGCAGGCTTGAGTTAAACTTCCGTGTTTTGTGTAACAAACACAAGATTGCAATTTTAGGCATGGATGGTCCTGAGCAAGAACTGTGCATCACACTCTTCCTTCTGCCCTAGCCCCATGGCTTGCCATGAGCAACTGGTGGACCATCCAGCTTGCTCATTCAGAAGGCAGTTGGAGTGGAAAGGGGTACGAATTTGTAGAACTTTGCATGACRCCATGAGCCAAAGAAATTATTTCCTTTTGTTATGAAATGCTGTAGAGTATTTACTGTTATAGATAATTACAGCAAGGGACAATAACAAACACACAATAACTTTGTGTGGGGTATGCCAGATACTCCGTATAAGAAAGCACATTATGGACATCTCCATCTGAGCTGCTCACTCTGCAAGTCAGAGATGTGAAATAGGCTCTTTTAGAGCACAGCTCTTTTCTTTCTTAAATAGTCATCTAATACGAATCAAAAGAACTGCTCTTGAAAGTGCCTATGGCTCTCCATATAGGAAATCTAAAGGGCTTATTTAAGAGAGGCTCAGCTTTTCACTTAGTAAACACAACTGGATTCTCTTCAAGCAGTGAGAACTACAGCGAGCCATCAAACAATGTCAAAATATGACTTGACATTCTTGCCCCTGTCTGCACAGGTTCACTTACCTGTTAAATGGATGGCTCCTGAAACCCTATTTGAAATGACCTTCATAATGAAGAGTGATGTCTGCTCGTATGGAATATTGCTATGGGAAATATTCTCTCTGAATATGTTCTGTAGCACAGCAGAAGAACTCAGTTCATCTTCACTGTCTTTTGAATTAACACATTTTCTCCAGTATTTTTGGTAGGTGTAAATCCCTATCCTGGCATTCAATGATACCAATCCAGGATGCCAATGATCCAAAGATTCTACAAATTAATTTGAAGTGGATTTAAAATGAACCGACCATATTATGCTACCAAAGATGTGTGAGTATATTTTCTGAAAGGTGCATAGCTTGGGATTAAGGTTTATATTGTCACTGTTTTTGTGACCTTTTATTTATTATACACAATACCCTGGTTCAAAAAAAAAATAAAATCAACAGAGGAGATTGCCACCTTCTCTGAAAAATGCTTTAAAACTTGKAAAGAAAGGCTACTTGATCATCCTGGCCCTACTTTGATTAGTTAGATTTTGCTAAAGGGGTCCAGAAAAGCCATGTATTTAACATCAACATTTTCCTCTTCTTCTTATTTTTCTTAGGCATAATAAACTCTGATCTGGACTCTTTTTATAAAATGGTCCTGATGTCTTGTAATCCCCACTACACTTTGACTGGAAGGTGAAAAACTAGACAGGATCTGAGTATTGTGTCCTTACTAGACCCACATTTCCTTCAAGAAGACAAATAGCTCCTTTCAAAACCACAGATTTCTTTCCCGATTTTCTACTCCAGTCTAGCCACACTATTTCTCAGCACACAGTGTCCCTGTTAACCTTTTGGCATGTGGAGATTATAAACAGCACTGGTCTTTGCAGCCTTTAACCTTTGGCAGCCTGTTAGGCTGCCAGAAGCTGTCAACCATAAAGGATCATTTCTCCTACTCTTGCTCCCGACGGATRCATGGGGCTTGTGCACTGGGCAGGAGCTGCTGACATTACCAATGTCAGCAGACTCTGGTAACACTAAGAGGCTACTGGTTTCTTTGAGGAATTATGAGCAGTTTTGGTGATGCATTTTAGTTAGAACAAAATTAGTATTTGCCATCCCATGTCCTTTCACAAACCTGCTCTTTGGGGCCAAATAAGATCGAATTCACTTAGATAGTTGTATGGGCTGCCTTTAGAGTCAGTGAGATGTATTGGGCAGGTCTGAGTGTGGTTCTTCCATGGTCTGCAGGGATCTCTGCTTTAAGAGAAGATAGGTTTACAAGTACTGGAAGAAAACAATTCTTGAAGCAGAGCATTTAAAAAAAATGGAATATATCACTTATTTTCTCTTTCCAAATTGTAGGCTTATGAAAATATGAAGAAAAGTGGTTCTACACAGAGTTCCAGTTATAAAAATAAACTGCATGTAAGCAAGGATGAAGAATCTCCCCAATGTACAGCTCTGCCCTCAAATGAAGACTCCCATAATGCACAATAATCCAGTGCCTGGATTTATCTTGGTATTTTCAAAAACTCCATATGGTATAAATGTTTTATATCACCACTAAGAAAAGAAGATCTTATCAGCTGCTGCTGTATTCACATTTCTTAAGGTCCAGCCGATATTTCTATTACTTTTAGCAGAAGTCACAGAAAATTGTTTTTGAGTTCAGCAAATGCATATATTACAGGATAAAAGCAGTTGTCCTTTTTTCCTTTTTTTTTTTTTTTTTTTTTGCTGCTGCCTTACAATTGGAAAATTCTTATTTTCCAATTGATTTAATCAATTGATCTAATCAATGCATTGAATTCTGACTGTTCTTGCCAAACTGCAAGAAAACACATGAATATCCAAGATGTTTTAATCAATGTTTACAAGCATGGACTATGCATCTAGAGAAAAATGGTGTTACTTTCAGGAGTGCTACACCCATCTTGATCTCGAGATGACAGTGAATGCTGGAAATAAGTTCATTTAAGTGGTTAGCTCTGGATATACATGTTTTAAAATATCAACCTTGTTTCCCAAGTATCTATTAATGTGAGTGTGTATGACCCTCTTGTCCTCGATATCTCAGTTCCTGTAAAGTACCTGATAAATGTCCCACTCAGGCGAGTTGATTTCATTAACTTTTAATACTTGTGCAGACTCTGCTCATCCAGGCAGATGAGCCTCTATGTTCACTACTAAGAGTTAGACACTTTTCAGGGAGTGATTTCTTCTACCTGAAAAGCTAAAATATGCAGGAGGAATGACATTTGAAGGTTATATTTGCCTTCCTTGATGTAGAAAATTCAGATGACTGGCACTGACTGGAAGTCTCATTTCCACCGAGTTACAGCTAATTCTACCTTTGGGTTTTGCACGATTTAATGTCAAATACAAATGTTTAATTTTAAATTAATTATCCTCAGTAATAGCTTAGGTGTATAACATAACTACTTCCAACTTCTAGAAATCTCAAACACTGCAATAAGATGAGAGTATGCCTCCCTAATTCCCATGAGAATAATCAGAGGCTTGACAGTTTTTAATGCAGATGAAAAGACACATTATTTTCTTGATAGTGCTTGGAGGATTTATAAATAGAACTTTCATAATGATTAATAAAACATTTGTATCTGAGTGAATCAAAATGAAAATACATTAGCTAGCAGTTTTCCTCTCTGTTACCAACATGCTAACCATGATTACAACTTCTAGTGGCAATTGTAATAGTAATAATTGTTTGCATGGAATATGATATCACATAAATTGCAATGTTCTTTACTAGAATTGTCTGAAAATAGTTAACATTTTAAAACAGCTGTTATAAATTTTATATTTTGGATATATTAATATCCAGAGCTGGAACCTGTGTCTCTGGGAGCGACTTCTCTGGAGGAAGTGCTAAAGTCTCCCTGTGGTCAATGAAAGGAGTACAGCCCGGGTGCGGACATCCAGCTGAGATGCCATTAGCCTAAGCATTAAGGCAGAGACCAACAAAGATTCAGATTCATTAAACAAAATGAGCAGGAATAGAAGGGATTTAGGTGCAGCTAACAGCTGAAGGGAGTAGATGGGTAGATAGATGGATGGATGGATGGATGGATGGATGGATGGAAGGAAGGAAGGAAGGAAGGAAGGAAGGAAGGAAGGAAGGAGGGAAGGAAGGAAGGAAGGAAGGAAAGACTCGGCTAAATCTGTTAAATTGCAAAGGGCACCACACTTTTCCTCAAAGGCAGAAGGGCAGAGGAAAAGGAAAGAGAAAGAGGGAGGGAGGAGAGGAAGGGAGGGAAGAAAAGAAAGAGGGAAGGAGGGGAAGGAAAAGGGAAGGGGAAGAGGGAAAGGATTTTAAAAGGATTTTATAAGCTAAATTAAAGGACTGGATGCCTTCAGGAATTCACTCTAACTGTGGTGTGCTATTTCATGAACATTACATTATGCAAGGCACCTTTTCCAGGTTATTTAGGAGGCCTGTCCACCTTCRTCAATCCGGTAAGTTTGACACGTCATTTGGGAACGGATTTTACTATCCCAGGGGTTAGATGTTAAACACCCCTCACAGCCAGGGTCCCACCATGGCAAAAATCAACGGTTCATGGAAGACAGAGCAAGCTCAGTYGTCTGTGTGAAGATTTTTGCTGAGAGGTGAGACTAGTCCGGTAAGTTTGTCTTACAAGGTAGGYGACCAGGGGACAGGCAACGATGGAATGCCAGCCCACGAGGCCATTGCCTACCCGAACTTAGCACRCGAGTMCAGTAAGGATTTCACGGACCCTCCTATGGCTCAAGGCTCCTCACCAGGACCGAGCTGAGTCTTCCTGGAGGCGACTCCTTCCTATCTGGGCTTGCCTCGCGTGCGTTAGCCACTTGGAACCACAGCATACGCATGCTGGGTGCTCATGGGGGATCGCCCCCGGCCCCAAAGTGGAAGTCACGTCCGAGATAGAGGTTGCCCGCGCAACCCGAGATGCTGAGTAGGCCAAAGACCTGCCCCGCCGTCACAGCCAATTAGGTGGAATGACTCAAACTTAGCTGTTCCGGGCCCAGGAATGCAAGCATTCCTGGCCATCAGAGTCACCACCAAAACGTCACTGACTAATCCAGGACCCCATGGATTGTCACCAAGTGGGGCTTTCATATAACTCGAGAGGACCAAACCCCCAGATCCTCCTAGGTGCCCAATTAGAAAGCCTCTAGGGCAAGAGGCTACAGTCCAAATATGATTTGGGCTATGGTTTCTTTGCACCAATTTTTACTACTGAGCAGCCRGCAATACCGCTCAATAGGGCATGAGTAGCTACCCTGGGACAGAGACAAYGTTAGACACCCGATATTAGCGGGGTCCAGCGGRAACCATGGGGAGGTCTTGTCTYTGATTCAAGCCCAGGTCGTAACCACGGTTCCCAGTAGAGAATCATAGTTACTCCTGCCAATAAAATAAAATAAAGATAATATACCCAATGGRATTTATTGGGATTTATTTATTGGGATAAGATACCCAATAAAGATAAAATACCCAATGACTCTTGCCAAGTTTACCAGACTTTGAAACACCTCTATAAGGAGATATGGGTAGCATCAGAAGTGACATTTCCGTAAAGAAAGGAAAGTTAAGATAAAATAAAATAAAATAAAATAAAATAAAATAAAATAAAATAAAATAAAATAAAATAAAATAAAATAAAATAAAATAAAATAAAATAAAATAAAATAAAATAAAATAAAATAGTGGGAAGCCGCCTCGGAGCCGCGCGGCGCCCGCGGGACCGCCTGTGCCGCTCCGGCACTAGGTGGAGCTCCGAGACCGCGGTGAGGGCCGCGCTGCCCCGCGCCGCCCGCCGCGGGCCGGGGTCGCCGGGATCCTGCCTTCCCCGCGCCCCCCAGGAGTGACTGCGGGGCAAAGCGCAGCCTTCCCGCCCCGCTGGAAGCCGGTCTGGGCGCTACAAGTCGGGCACGGCCATATGRGGCTCGGCTTCCCCTTGCTCCCGCTGCAGGAGCGCGTGGTGGAGAGGGGACAGGGGCCCAGCTGCTGTCTGGATGAGAGCAACTCCTTTAACTCGAGTTCCTTGAGTTCCTTTAACTCGAGGGAGCAAGCCTGGGAGTTGTGATGCCCAACTTCAACGTCTCTCGTTATAAAGGAGAATTCAGAGCCACAACACTGACAATCAGGATCCTCGGAAATTGGATTGGATGGATTCGAGCCCAATGCAAACTCGCTAGCTGAGCAGGCACCCCCCCACACATTGCCCATGTGTCACTGAAAGCACACACCAAAAAATGGAAGCCCTTGTCCTCACAAGCCAAGGGGATTCAGATGTGCTACTGTCATGCAAGGCCAGCTGCTTGGGTTGCAGTGCCTGGGCAAAACCGCTGAGGTCCCTCTAGGAGAAGTTGGTCATGTGTAGAACCGTAAGAGGAAAACTGCATTGACTGTCCCTTAAGGGCTGCGCTTCTGCCAAGAAATATTTCAGGGATACAGAATTCAAATCTGGCTGAAAACTAGATCGGGGCATTCTTCTGGATCTGGACACACATGGATTGAGCTCTTTTTCACGGATGTTGCAGTAAATCAAGAACTTGCTAGCCAGGACTCTCATCCCAGGTGAATGCACTGCCATGTCGTGAGTCACTCTCTCCTTCCCTCCCTTCCTTCTCCACCCCCTTCCCCTCTATCTCCATGGTCATGCAAAGTAAAATAGTTTCAAAACGAAGCACTCCAAGAGCCATCCAGCCCTGTGGTTAGCACACATCACTTCAAAAAGAGGTGGAAAGTGAGTCCAGCTGCTCATCTTTGGTGAATGTCTCCAGTACTGGGCTGTTAAATGAAGCCTTTCCAGCCAGGTGTGGAGGCCTGATGTGTTACATGCTCCCTGAGATGTTTCCTGAATCATGTCTTGTGTGGGAGCTAGAGGGAGAGAGGCTCGTATCCAGGATCCTGTCTTACAGATCACTCAACATTAAGATGTATGGATTTACGGTTATGCCTAAAAATTGGTTATCTAGGTACACTGGAAATGTTTCTGTTTGAAAAATGAAGGGGTCTTGGGTTGTTAGATATGGTTCACTGCTGAGCAGGGATTTTAAAACTAGTGTTCCGGGTTGTGTCAGGAAGGTGCCAGCTCTACTAAGTCACCTCAGATGGGATGCAGTTCCTTTTATATATACACTGCCAAGATGGGATGCAAACCTCATTCCTGACTGTGACCTGCTCCTTTTGCATTCTACCCAGACCCAGAGGTGCTCCTCTGCTTCCTCACTTACTTGTAGCTGCCCATATGTGACCCAAAGCACGTGCTCTGGGAAGATGTGTCTCCTGTGCCCCATGGCTTTGCTGGATTTGAAGATGACGTAGACAGTCTAAGTCCTTGTGGAAATCCCAACAGCACAGACAGGTCTACAGCTGACAGATCTGCTCAGTTTTTTGTAATAAGCTCATGGTTGGATCACTTATCTTCAGAATCCATGAGTACTTCACAGTCTAAATAAATGTGACCTGCAGTCCCTGAGACACC